AGTATTAGCTCTTGCAGCCTCTCAAAATTGGAAATTGTGGCAACTTGATGTCAAAAATGCTTTTCTATATGGAGAGCTTGATAAAGACATTTACATGGAGCAACCACCAGGCTATGTTGCAAATTCTCATCCAGACTTTGTTTGCAAACTCAAGAAAGCTCTTTATGGGTTAAAGCAAGCGCCAAGGGCCTGGTATGGAAAAATTGCTCAATATTTGCAATTTTGTGGTTATCTTGCTTCAGATTCTGATCATAGTTTATTTGTGAAAAAGCAATCCAGCTTGCATGTTATAGTTCTACTATATGTGGATGACATAATAATAACAGGAAATGATGAAAAAGAAATTGCAAGACTGCAAGAAGAGCTATCTATTCGTTTTGATATGAAAAATCTAGGAGAGCTAAATCATTTTCTCGGTTTAGAGGTTGAAAATTTGGAAAATAGAATTTTTGTAACTCAAAGAAACTATGCAGAAAAGCTTGTTGCAAAGTTTGACTTGAAGGAAGGAAAAAAGTGCTCCACTCCACTTGACATAAATATCAGGCTAAGGCGTGATGAAGGCTCCTTGTTGTCTAATCCTCAACCTTATCGTGTTCTTGTTGGAAGTTTGATTTATTTGACCATAACAAGGCCAGATATTGCATTTGCTGTTGGTCTTGTTAGCAGGTTCATGCAAGCACCTCGAAAGCCACATCTTGAGGCTGCTAAGAAGATTTTGAAGTATGTCAATACCACCCTTGACATGGGATTGTTCTACAAGAAAGAAGCAAACTTTTCTCTACTTGGGTTCACAGATGCTGATTTTGGTGGAGATTTGGCTGATCGCAAATCGACATCTGGTTATGTTTTCTTGTATGGTGGGACTAGTATTTCTTGGTGTAGTAAGAAACAAGATTCAGTTTCCTTGTCAACTACTGAAGCAGAATATAAGGCTTCTGCTCTTGCAGCTCAAGAATGTGTTTGGCTTCGAAGGCTCATTGAGGATCTTGATTCTCCTATTCAAGGTTCAACCAGCCTTTATGGAGATAATCAAAGTGCTATTAGGCTTGCCACCAATCCAGTTTGTCATGCAAGGACAAAACACATTGAGGTGGAGCATCATTTCATTAGAGAGAAGGTTCTGGAAGGAACCATCAATGCATTGGAGGTAAAAAGTCAAGATAATGTTGCTGACATATTTACCGAGTCACTTTCCAAAAGCTCCTTTGAGATGCTTCGTTCTCAACTTGGAATTATTTCTAGAAAATCACTTTAAGGGGGAGTGTTAAAATTAGTAAAGTAATTTTCTAGAAGGGTTACTGTTCATGAATAGCTCTTCAACTTTCAGTTATGTAAGCGTGTGAGATCAAATATGTTT